TACATTATATGCGTATGTATAATTACAGAAATAACACCGGTTAAAAAGTCGGAACAAATGTCTCACACGTTACTTTCGCGAACCAATGAATAAAACAACCGATCCCGGCGCTCCGTAAATCTATCGTTGAAATTCGAGACTCATTGCTCGCCGCGAATCGTTGCCCGCGGAAACAAAACCCATCCGACGACGTTCCGGATCCGCGGATCAACGCACGAGATACATATTCCCGCGGAACGGTCCGCCGATCAGAAAAATCTCGAAAGAGAAAAATCAGCTCGCGGCTAATTTATTACCGGCCGCACAGGCGTATCAATTGCCACGGGGCCGTGGTCCCGGCCGGGCCACGCCGCGATAATTAAATCCGGCTCACGAAAGATCGCTAATTCGATCCACGTTTCGATCCATATAAATGCTAATTACCGGTGTTCCCGTTTCAATCGACTGATTCGCCGCGAGAGAGGAAGCAGCTCGCGGCTGTAATTCCATTTCGAGCGAGCGGTGTACCTGCGCGGGCCCGCGGGCCCACTTAATTACGATGGAAACGGGGACCGCGCGGCAAGTCGTGATCTCGTCGAACAATAGGGCGACATTGTTTCCCGGGCCTGGCCGCAGCCTCGGCGATTGAACCGTTCCTTTGCTGCCGAGGACCCAGCTTCCCAAGTATATATACAGGGTGTCCCAAAAATGTCTCGCAATCCGGAAATGGCGGGTTCCTCGGATCATTTGAAGCAGCTTCTTCCTTTACAAAAATGTTCTCCGAGGCACCGTTAACGAGTTATCAACGAAAAACAGTGACCAATAAAAATCGAGTACGGCTGACGCGAGGCGGCCCAGCCAACCAGCGCGCGAAGCCCGGTTCCGCTCAATGGCTCGGTCGCCTCGCGCCAGCCGAGCTCGCCTCTCATTGGTCACTGTTTTTCGTTGATAACTCGTTAACGGTGCCTCGGAGAAAATTTTTGTAAAGAAAAAAGTTGCTTGGAATGACCCGAGGAACCCGCCACTTTTGGATTGCGAGACATTTTTGGGACACTCTGTATAAGTATATACGTATATATGTATACGTATGTTATACGCCTTTCCGGTTGTCGCGCGCCTGCTTTACGGAGCAACCAGGATTTTCGATCGAGACCAAGCTTTTTACCTTGTACGAGACTCTGTCCTCTTCGTCCGAGGAGGAGGACTCGGCGGGATCGACGCCCGGTGTCGCTACAGCTTCCGTTTCCGCTTCCGTTTCCGTTTCCGCCGGATGAGGCTCGACCTCGCTGCTCCAGGAGTGTCGCCTCTTCAGGTCCCCTGAAATCATGCGATCTTCGTTCAAGCAAATCGTCGACGACGCGGTCGCCGCACGAACCTGTTTCGAGGAGATCTGTTCTACACGTGGACGCGTCTTTCTTTCGATAAACAAATGATAATCGGTGAGAAAATAATAAGTAAAAAATAATAGCTAGTGAAAAGTAATAATCGGTGAAAAATAATGAATAAAATCATTTCTTTTGTTGGCTACGAGTCTCTATATTCGATCATACATTTGTCACAAGAAAAAAAGGATATTAACACTCTTATCATGAAAATTTCATTGTGAAAACTCTCTCGTAAGAAATGATTTTCGAGAAATAATTTTTATAGCGCAACCTTTTAAAATGCAATAACTTTTTTCGTATAAAATATGAATGAAATTACACAAGCATGCATGCAAGTTATCGAGATGCATAAAAAATGCGTTCTTCAGATGTTCGTTGTAGTCTCGGATAAAAAGTTAAAAAAAAACCAGAGACTTTTATTTTTGTCTAACAGACTAGTTCCTCGAACATTTAACACTAAACCAACCGACTTGTAACGATGATTAGCATGCATCGACTCATAAGAGTGAAAAGATAGAATTCATTTGGATTTGATAAAGTTTGAATTACGAGACTTCTTTCAATAATATAATTTACTCAATCATCTTTCACGAACAAATCTCCAAAGTTCGTAGTACCTTAAAATAAAAAAATCGGTCACACATTTTGACCGTGGTAGGTTCAGTGTTAAAAAAGAAAGGCTTCGAGTCGTTCGGTCGAGTTCGAGAGAAACGACCGCGTTTCAAAAGGCGGTGCGAACACTTTTGCGCGGTGCATTGTGCGCGAATCGTTTTCAGCGTTCGCCAGGCTTAGCGCGTCGATTTGCATAGAAAATGCCTTCCCTTGCGCGAACGCACCCGAGAAAGAAAATGCCTAGCGCGGTTATTTTTAGATGGATCATCGGTGCATTCGAGTCCGCCGCGCTTCTCGCGAAGCGGCGTATTCTATAAACGACTATCATCCACGTCGCGCAACAATGTTAACCCGTTCTCGATTCTGGATACATTTGAAGCAGCTGTATATCGAGACTAATCGCCGGCTTCTGGTAATTGATACGGGCAGGAACTGTTCGTTTTACTCGAGGAGGAAGCGCGCGGACACGATTATCGGGCGAAGGGTTGAGGTTCCGCGGAGGACGAGCACAGCCTTATCTCTCGAGGGTGTTATCAGGCTGTCGAGGCGGTTCGGCGTTAATCCCGCGGGACTAGAGAGTATCGGTATCGCAATCGGTCGTCGATCAAAGCCGCCCCGGCTGGTAAAATGACGAGGGACGAGGTGGCGGAGAGAAGACGGTGGCGCGTGCCGCCGGGCCCCGGCAGCAATTAATAAGGCCCACGGACTCTCTCAATCGGTCGGCCGCTTAATTAGAATTGTCACTATCGTTCATCTCCCCGGCGGCTGTTTAACGTCGACTCGCCAATCGAAGCGTGGCTGACAAAACTGGCCGCTACCACTTTTTGCCGTTGGCCTCGCCTCGCCTCGCCTCGCCTCGGCTCGCCTCGACCGCGGCAGAAGCGGCGGCAGCAGCAGCGCGGCGAGCATATAATCCTGTACGCGTCTCCTGTTACGGATCTCGGATTTCCCGACTAAGTAACGCGGGATCAGGGACCGGATCCCGGCCGATCGGCTCGGTTATTAATTCCGAAGCTGGTTTCAGAACGGATCGGCGAGGACTAAATCGTCTTACGGGGCCTCCGGGCCCCGGATTCTTGGCGCGGCTCGGCGCGGCGGAACGGGGCCCTCCTGCTCCGGCAATCGCATGAATTAAATGTCCTCCGATTGCCCGGCGATCTAGAAAATTACTCGGCCGTGTCGTCGAACGACTTTCGGTACCGTTCGCACACGATCATCCGCCTCTTTAGCGGGATTCCGTCGGGCTGATCCAGTTTATTGAAACGTTGCGAGCCGTGTCGGGCCGTCTTTTAACGCTAAATCCACGACGCCGGTCGAAATCAACGGACCCGACGTGAGTTTTTATTTTCGAACGATCGGAATTATGCGGATCTTTCTTTTCTTTTTTTCTTCCTTGCGAAACGATCGATCGAATTCTCCTGCGCGGGATTACGTTGTAATAAGTATCGCGGCTCGAACTGCGGGAATCTTTCTTTTGTTCCGTGAGAATTGTTGCATCGGGGTTGTTGCGAAAGGAATTTCAGTTTTTTTGTTCTTTTCGTTACTTTTGCGACGACTCGATAAACCGCTGCTCTAATTCGATACCAAGATACGTTTGAATGATAAAGTTTGAAGAACGAGCGTTATTAAAGGTTTATTTTATTCGATAATAATTTGGTTTTCGAAAACGATGGAGTATTATTTTTATTAAATTTTGTACCAACGTATATATTGAATTCATCATTGTCCACACTTCGTAAGATACTATGAATGATAACCTGGTTTTTGATAGATTGATACCACTATTGCAATAAATACAATAATAATAGGTACGTTGAATTAGAGAAGTCTGAACTTTGGACGCGAATGCAAAGATCGCTGAAAGCAGCGAATGCAAAGATCGCTGAAAGCAGCCAACGCAAAGATTGCAGAAAACACCCAACGCAAAGATCGCTAAAAGCAGCGACTGCAAAGATCGCTGAAAGCAGCGACTGCAAAGATCGCTGAAAGCAGTAAATGCAAAGATCTCTGAAAGCAACGAATGCAAAGGTTGCTGGAAAGCAGTCAACGCAAAGATCGCTAAAAGCAGCCAACGCAAAGATTGCTGAAAGCAGCGACTGCAAAGATCTCTGAAAGCAGCGACTGCAAAGATCGCTGAAAGCAGCGACTGCAAAGATCGCTGAAAGCAGCGACTGCAAAGATCTATGAAAGCAGCGATCGTAAAGATCGCTGAAAGCAGCATGCGCGAAGGATGGAGAGATCGCGGACCCGAAGGGAGCAAACGCGGATAAAATGTAAACGTGAAGGGATTCGTTAAGGGATCGTGGAAAGATCTCGAGATCCCCGGGCACGCATCCGCGGATTTCCATGGAGGGCCGCGGAACATTTAAGGTCGATGCACAACGGTTCGAACGAGGATAATGATCGGAGATAAGCTCGCAGGTTAAACACTGTACTCGGGACGTGACTTATGGGATTCGATCGGGTGGAAGAGGCGCCGATTCTACCTACAAATTTACTCGTTTACTCGTTTCTTCGTGGAATGCCATGGGGTCCCACGGGAAGAGCGCGAAGAAGGAGAAAGAAAGAGCGAGAGCGAGAGAGAGAGAGAAGAGAGAAAGAGAGAGATGAGAGAAAGAGAGAGGAGAAGCGACCGTGGCGGAGATCACGAACAGGAAATTTATCGGTTCGACGGTCAAAGTGTGAATTACGTCGGTTCTCGCGTGAGCTGCAATAAAATATTCCCCAAAGCTCCATCGCATTGTGCTATCGTACCCGCTTATTTCCGTCGGCCGTATCTCACGGGATCCGTGCGCGGCGAGAACGCGTTCCCCGGTGCTTTATTAATAACTAGCGGCGAGCTCTGTTCGCACACTTATCGCTATAGTCGCTATAGTCCGTGAAACGGGGGAAAGTTCGGTGCACAGGTTCGCGCGACTTGCCCTTTCCATCGTTTCGTTATCTTTCGGCCGATCTGGAACGCCGCGCGTATCTTATCGAATCGCGGCGTCGAATCTTTTCGTTCGAGATCGAGCGACGAATTTCTCCGACGAATTTCTAATTAGCCCGTGAATCCAGCGTTCTCCGTTAAATCCGAAAGGAATTCGTCGACGGAAGAACTATATGCCGTCGCATACGTTCGAACGACCGCGCGTGAACAAGATTTATTTCGCTCTCTGCGCGTGAAATAGAAAATCTTGATCGTCGATTTTATATCTCGTCGTAAAACCTCGATCGTAATTTTAAGACAGGCGACGACAAAGTGGCGGCAGTAAAAGTGTTAATACGATTCGAGCGCGTTTAATGTACGACGAAGATGCGCGGACGCAACGGATGCAACAGATGAAGCGGATGCATCGGATGCAGCGGACGCGGTGGATGCGGATCTGATTCTCTATTTGGCTCCTGTCTGCTTATAGCAATTACGCTGCAAGTTTGACGTGTTCGTGAAACAAATGAGACGCACCGTAATCCGAAGAGGAAACAATTTTTAAGACGGGCAGATTTTCGCTTCGCAAATTTCACTGTCCGCTCGCGATCAACGCGGCCTCGTCTTTCTTCGTTTGTCGGTTGAAACGGAGGACAGACGGATCTAATAGATAAGCAAATCTCCGATCATAAGTTCGATGAAGAATAAGAAGAGCGAAGAACGCGGATTATTGTACCGGTCCAACCGCGGAAGGCCCGGAAGCCACGTGTGACGCACGTGCTCCGCGAATGCACGTGCACACGGCCAACATGGCGGCCGGACGGCTCGCGAAACGACAGCCAAGTTTGAGTTCACGATGTCCGTGACAAATCGGCGTGGATGATAGTTTATGGCTCGGCGGAACATGGAGGCGTTCCGGATCGGTATGCAAAAGAGTTCTTCTCTCGAGTTCTTCGTGTTTCGTTCTACGTTAAACGAATATACAGTAATGTCTCCCTAACTGACGCTCAGGTTATGCACAGAAATGAACAATTTGGGAGGAGGAGATACGATTATTCGAGCCTGAGAGCTCGTTATTATAATTGTTGACAATTCGTAACTATAAAAGCAAACCCTAAGGCTCGAACAATCGTATCTCCTCTTCTCAAATTTGTCCATTTCTGTGGACAATCTGAGCGTCAATTAGAGAGACATTACCGTACTCTCGAAGTTGTCGCGAGAAACTGACTCTGTTCGACCGATTTCCGAACATCTGCAGTTGCGTATTGCAGAATTTTACATCGTCATAAATTCGTACAATAAATTCGATATAAATTCGATATAAATTCTCTTGAAAGCAACGTCGAAACCAACATTAGAAAAAGGAAGAACAAACAATAGAAAATCCCACGAACTCGGAACAGGTAGGACAG